TTAAAATTTTGCAAATCATACTAATTTTACAATTTGTTTATTTGAAAATTTCAATATATTAAAGCACATGTAAATTAAAAGTTAATTTATCAATCTTATCACAGATACAAAATTCATTATCTTCTCTATTAATTATTGTAAGTCGAATTTTGCTAAATTCATTCTTCATTTCAACATATCCTCAAACTTTGCTCTTTTTTATCATTGTAGCAAAGAGCTTATTTCATTAATATTAAACGAGCTAAGTTCATCTAATTAAAAATTCATTTCTTTGTTTAATCCTAATTATGGTATTAAGAATGATCCATAATTAATGTTATAAGATGTTTAAACTACAAAATTTCGAATGAACTTTTTTTTATTAATTTCGAAAGTGTAAAATTATAAGTTCAATCCATTTTTTACAATCCTTTTCCGGATAAAACTATAAAGCTTTTTAATTCATTTTTACAGCAGCGCCTTTTAAGCTTCTTAATCATTTTGAAGAATACATTGGATTAAAATAACCCCAAAAAAATAATGTAAGCGACTGTCAGCAAAAGAAAATTATAACAAACGAAAAAATGTGTTATTTGATATTATTGATTGATATTAATTCACGTATACGTGAAATATTGTAAATAAATTTAAAGAAAAATAATTTTTGAAAAACTTTTAAAGAACTTAGCATTCCTTAACATTTAGTCATTTATTTTCAAATTTTATTAAAAAGAAAATGAACGAATGACAGCAATAACAAATAATACACGCAAAAATATTTGGTTCCATTTTATTCTTCCACCACTAAACTGTCAACAAATTTTGCAAACTAATTTGTGTTACTTTCATAGTACAATACTCTTATAACTTTTAAAATTTATCGAAATTCATTAAAAAAAAAAGCTGCTCAACTCAAATAATTAACCAAATTAATGTTTTAAATGAATTAAAATTAGACTAAGAATTTTATACCTAAATTATCAATTAATAGTTCGATCTTATAGTTAAGTAATAACAATAATAAATTCTTATAGTAATTACAGTTGCAATAGTAATAATGCTCAAATAATAAACTACATTAATTTTTAAATGAATTAAAATTAGATAAAGGATTTTACTCCTAAATTATCAATTAATAATTCGCTTTCATAGTAAGTAATAATAATGCTTATGGTAATTATAGTTGCAATAGTAATAATACTAACTCTGGTAGTTATTTTATAATTATTTTTATTTATTCTTAATTTTATTTTATTAACAAATAGTAATCATGATAATAATGATAATAATTAATATATTGTATTGATATTATCTGTTTTCTTTGTTTATATGTGTGTATATGATAATTGTCGTAGGAAAACAACTTTTCCTACTTGTTATTGTTTTTCTTTTTGCTCTTTTTTTATCACATCAAAATTTTAATTCATTTATCATCTTTATCTAAAATTTTATTATATAAACATATATATGTTTACATAATGTAAACATATATATAGAAAACAGGTTTTCGTATAAGAATTAATACGGAAGGTGAATTTAAGTTCAATTAATAGTTGCATATATGTATAGTAATTATTATCATATTGTTTAGGTTGTCAACAAATTTAATAATCTTTTATTTTTATAATTTTATTTTATTTCTTTTGATGAAATTTTTTTGTTATCCTATGATTTAGGTAAAATTATCTCTCACCCTATTCTATCCCAATTTTTCAGATCAAATTACTACCTTCCTTATCCTATTTTCAAAATGAAACTATCCATTCTACTTTTCGAATGGTTTAAAATTTTCTCCTACATTATCGTAATTTACAATAACTATCAATTTTTACATCTCTTATCTAACATCTAAATAATTACTAATTAATGGAAATTTTTGACTTGATTATAAATATTTGTTTGTCGAAATATTTTAAATAATAATATTTTCTTTTCAAATTTATTTCATTTCTTCTTTTCTGCTCTTCTTAATTATACCAATAATTAATAATATTTGATAAATTCTTTTCTTTTATAATCGTCTATTGTTTTTACCGTTAATAAAATGAATTCATGATTTTCTTCTTTTTCTTTTCTCCTCTTAATTTCTCTTCCTATTTTTTAAATGACATATTCTTCGCAAGATACCTTTCACTTTTCATACTTATCCATTTATTTAGCATTTTTTAATTTAATTTGGTAATTTATTCATTTTTGTACACCTACTGTAAATGATCAAACATTTTCAACATTCCTTTTAACAGAGTTTTGATTCTAAATTTAAAATCGATTCTTTTTTTAGAAAATAAATCTTTTTCGGCAAGTGAAACAAAAGGAACGATATATGAAATGGCATTATTTCTCTTTTCAAATATTAATTTACTATTTGTAAGATACTGACATTCATAAAACGGAAATACTAAAATCATTTCAGGTTATTAAATAGTTCAACTTTTATAAAAATTAAACTTACATAATTTTTTCAACATCATAAATTGTTTATTTCATCCAACGACTTTTAAGCAAACAATTAAAATTCGACAAATAACAACAGATTCTGTAAATATATTCTGCCCATCAATTTTTATTTAAAATTTTATTTAGTATGCTTAATAGAAATTTAAAAAAATATCAATTGTTTTTTTAATTTGTATAAATCATTAATTAACAATTCATCAATTAGCATCCATAAATTTATTTTTCCAATTTACGATGACTTATGGTTTTGTACAATTATTTGATAAATATATTTTATTATAATTTTTCTGCTAATTTAGTTTTAATTGAAATTAAAACTAGATTGATTAATTAAAGAAAATTAAATTTTTTAAAATTTTTTTTAGCTTAAAGTTTACCATTAATGAAATGTGAATTAAAATAAAATGAAATTTACTTTGCCTTTCATCTTTCTTTCGTTTTATTTTTGCTGTTTATTTCGTTAAGATTTCGGAAGATGTTCGATTTCCAACGAAGCTATTTTAAAATTAGAAAGAAAAAATTTATCACTTTCTTCCTTTATCCAATGTAACAAATAGTGTGCAGCTGGCTGTTGAATTGCTTGAGTTACACTTCTCGTCGGAAGAAATCGTTGAAAGCTAATTTACCTCCCCTTTTTAAACTCCTTTTTTCTTCTTTTATTTTATTTATGTGATCATAATTTGCTCGCATTTGCATAAAATTAACTATTTACATTTATCAGTTTAACAACTGATTTAATAATTGATAAACATAAATGGTTAATTTTACACAAATGAGGGCAAATTAAGAAATAGTTTAATGATTTATTTTCTAGTTTATAGCATATAAATGAATTTTTTTAACAATTAATAGTAAATATATTTTATACAAATATATAATAGAAAATAAATAATTTTTGTGTTAATAATAGCAAATAAATATTTTAATAAATGATAGTTAAAAGAATTTTGCTTTTTCGATTTTAATATCATTTTTATTTAATGAAAAACAAGTGATGATGTAATATCGTTACATAAATAGAGATATTTCATGAAATTTTAAATAATTGAACCTACAAAAATATTCTAATATTAGTTCATTCATTTTAAGAATTTGAAAAATAAAAATGGAAATAAAAAAAAGGGAAGAACGAAGCGATTTTTATATATTTCTTCGATTATTAATATATTATTATATATTATATATTTTTTCATATTTACTATTATTACTAACTTTTTGATTTCTGTTTTCAAAGATTCCATTTATGCATATAAAATTGGTTTATTATCATAAAATTATTGATTGATAGTTTCTTAAGTTCAATTACTAAAAGAATTTCTAATAAAAAAAAGCAATAATTTAAAACATTTCAATTTGAAACATTTATTCTTTCTTCTGTTTTATACAAAATTTCTGCAACATCTCAAATTTTATTTCTTCTTATAAAATATATAACTTATTTGTATAATAAATTTTTATTAATTAGCTTCTTTAATTGATATAAATTATCAATTATCAACTAATTATAAATAACTTAATAATACAAATATTATAAAATCATTGCAAACATTAATTGGTTTGCAATGATTTTATAATATTTTATAAACTATATTTATTGTTGCTATAGGAAATCCTTTGGTTTTTCAACAAACATAGTTATTTTAGGTCACTCAAATAGAGAATAAACCATTAGGTAATTTTTAAGTTATTTATAATTAGTTGATAATTGATAATTTATATCAATTAAAGAAGCTAATTAATAAAAATTTATTATACAAATAAGTTATATATTTTGCATCTTTCTTTAATTAGTTCTATTAAAAAATACTACCAATAATTATTATTTTTTCCTGAATATCTATCTCGTTATTGATCATAGCAAATAGCAGCAAAAATAAAATCTGTATGCACACCTGGTATAACTTCAGTTAATGCTATGTTCAACTCTCAATGTTAGTTCATCCATTCAGCTTAACCAATCATCAAATTGTATTATTTATTACTATTATTAATTACTGTTATTATTAGCATTATCGTTATTATTGATTATTATCAATAATATTAATCATTATTATTCATCATTCTACGTGCAGTAAAATGGATAATATTTACTGATTAATATTCATAGACTACAATCTTCCTATAATATTTTTATACGTTATTTTATACGTTAAAAAATATTCTCTATACTTTTAATATTATTTTTACCTTATTTTCTATGATTTTGTTGAAAAATTTTTTTATTATAGTTAATAGTTAAAAATATATTTTCACATAAGTTAAATTTTTGCAAATTTCCAACAATGCCATATTAACAATAATTTGTTTTAATATGAAATTAATAATTAACAATAATTTGCATTATTATGAAATTAAATAATTATATCAAATTAAGATTTTAATGTGTTAGAATTGTTAATTTTGCGCACATTCATCTAATCTTTATTTATTTCCATTTAATTTCATTTCATCAATTAAACAACATTAACATTCAAATGAATTAGCTATAATTGGGCAATTATTGTTTGAAATTTCTCATCCATTATGATCAATAAAAATGGATTTTAGAAGTTTTGTTTTATGAAATGGCTCAACAATTATCTATTACTACCACTATTACTGTTCCTATTACTACCACTACCACTACTACTGTTCCTATTACGACTACCACTGCTACTACTACTACAACTGTTACAACAATTAGTAATCAATCAAAATATCCATTTACTCAATCTGAATTGCGATTAAATTCTGAAAATTCGCGAAGTATGAATGCTATTGCTAATAGTGATTTATATCATTGTCAAGATACTAATAATCGTATTGATAATGATAATATCAACAATTTCTATCATAATCCAATTTATTATCCTAATGATTATCATAATTTATCAGTGAAAAAATATTTTTCTGTTGATCATTTCAATCGAATGGTTTTTGAAACACCCCAACGACGAGTTACAAAAAAATGCCGCCATTGTAGGAAACAAAATTTGTTGAATCAATCATTTAAACATTGCAAGCTTATTTCAACGAAAGTACAGCCAGCTTCATCGCAAAAGCTTTATTCATTCCATTTATCACTTGAAAATTCGAATAATGTAAATGCAAATCATTCATTCGAATGTTCCTCTCATCGTGAAAATATGTCACTATGTATTTGTGATACGATTTTAAAGAAGAACGATTCATGTAGTTCTATATCACAACTTTTTACTACGGAAAATAATCTATGCAGTTGTTTCAACAACTTAAATAATGTTGCTGATAATGATAACGATAGCGATAGTGACGATGACGCTCATAAGAATAATGGTAATAATGATAATGATGATGATGAAGAGGAAGAAGATGAGAAGAACGATTCGATTATATCAAAGGATCAACATTTTAATATAATATGGTGTAATGAGAATCAAAATGGTATTAATGATGGTGATAATGATAATGATGATGATAATGATCGTAAATGGATCGCTTCTCATTCTAAAGAATCACAAATTGATCAGGCCAAATTTATAGCAATTGCAACGGAAAAACTTTTAACAGCAGATCGAAATATGAAAGAAGCACAGCGTTTCAATATTTCACATCAAAGAATGAGACGAGCGAGTAGTTTGTGTAATATATTTTTCTTACGAAAATTGCTATCAATGGAAATTAGCAATCCGATATTGATTAGTAGTACGAAATCGACAGATTACTTACGATGTTTGCCGAAAGTGCAAACACTTCATAATGGCTTGAATGATGTTAGAATTTTTGCACAAAAAAAAAACTTTAGAATTAATGAAATGATATAATTAATGTGAATTGCATATATGTAATTTATAGTAGAATAATAATTAAGTAAGTTTAGATCGTTTGGTCATAATCCATCATCTTTATCATTTATTGTTTTTCTTTTTTGCTGGTGAAATTAATTGCTTGGGCTATTAATTAGTAGTTTGCAATTATTGTTTAAACAAAGCTGCTCTAGCATTACATTTTAGTGAATATAAGTTTAATAATATTTTGGAAATTTCATATATTAAGCACTCTTTAGTAAGCAAATTTCATAAATAGTGCTTATAAAAATATATATATCACTGCTGCCCACAGCCATATCAAGAAAAAAATCAATAAATGTTGGTTGCTAACCAGCACAGCAATCATTTTATAGCTCAGTTGATTCCGTCGCATATATCACTGGTTAGAATCTTCTGAAATA